AGTTGGAGTCAGAGTCGGAGTTGTACTAAAAAAATTTCAACAACTGGAGTCGGAGTGGGAGTCGTTACTTTTTTTTTACGACTCCACACCCCTGGTTTATGTGAAAAACCTTTTCGACCTTGTTTTTATGTTTTATTGTAAGACCTTTGTATCAAATTTTTTTTGCTGACCTGATGCCGACCTCTAAAAGATTGAGGTCGGCAAATTATTCTTCATTTTTTATATTTCCGAGGGTTGATATATATATATATATATATATATATATATAATATATATATATATATATATATATATATATATATATATATATATATATATATATATATATATATATATATTCTTTTATTTATAGTCATCCTTGATTCTTTCAATTTGTTCAATTTTTTACTCAAATTAGATTTAAGCTCTTCAGCATTTTTACCACTGATATATAAACAGGGATTATATTTTTCCTAATTTTTCCGGAATTGTTTTTGTAACTTTGTCTTCAAGTAATTAAAATAGTAAAGTATTGTTCCTCACTTCACTTAATGCTACATTTATTAAGGCATTATTTGTCCACATGTTTAACTCTTTTTTCTTATTTTTCTTATGTATTTTTTTTCTTATGTATTTGTAATTAAATATTTTAACCATTTTAACTAAAAATTTAATATAGTTTAGTTTAATATTTTTAAAATATAAATTAAGTTAATTTATAAACCTTATCTAAATAAATAAGTTTTAAATAAAATAAATGCCTTAATGGCTGAATTGGTTAGCTTGCTACGTTTCCAAAGTACAAGGCGAGGTTTCAATTTCTGTCCCTTGCACATTAGTTAAGCAGCCCAGCACAGAAATACGTAGCAATTTACAGCACTACATCATTATTTTCCTTGCTTGAAAAATCAAAGTATTTTAACATTTTTGCGTACTAATTTTTTTATTATGTACACATTATTTGTACATGTGTACAAATGAATTTCTTTTCAAACACATGAGATATTCTTAATTATGCAAAATGTTTTTATATTTCTGCATATTTCTTAAAAATATTTTCTGGATGTTTTTTGTAAAAAAAATTCCAGATTTTTAAGATATAACCTGGATAATCACTGCATATATTATCTTTGAATATAATCATATTAAGAATAATATAGCCACAGATTCTATTGCTTTTTGAAATATTCCACTTGTAATTTTTATTTCATAAGGCAAGCATGTCCATCTTAGCAATTTGACAGGGGTGTTAACTGTTGTTATTTTGTAATTTGCACATGAGCGTAAATCTCCATCTGTTTTTCTAACAACCACAAGTAAGGCCCATTTGCTTCCGCCAGGAGGAATTCTTTGGAGCAATCTTTAATGAATCATTTTATTGAGCTTATCTATCACTAATGGTTGTATGTGAATAGGAAGAAATTGAAATTTAAAATAAGTTGGTATTATGCTATTTTTTAATAGGTTATTTGCTTTTTAGTTAAATAAATTTCCATGAACAATAGGTTCTATAATTTTAATTCAGTTTGTTTCATTAGTATTCAACACATCCAATTTAACCATGATTCTTTGTATAATCTGCATCATTATTTGTACAATATTCATTTTAGATTCAGTTGAAGATAACATTTTTGTAACTTAGGTTTAGATGTTAATTCCCAAATTTTTTACGCATGATTGTGACTTGACTTCTGGTATCAACTTGTATTTTTATATTGGAATCATTTATTTTGACATTAGTCTCTGAGTTTGTATCATTTATGTTAATTGAATATAAACATAATTCTCTACTTCCTCTACAATTCTTTTATATTTAATGTTTGGTTTGCATACCTATTTAAAGTGGTTTGATTTTCCACATATTTTAACTTTTTCCAAATGCTGGGCACTTTAATTTTATCAATATAAGTGTTTTGTTGTTTTCAATGTTGCTTTGTATGCTAAATGAAGATATATGTTCAAGCCGCCTAAAATAAAATCAAGTCATGATCCTAGTTTAGGCGACTCTCCACTTTGCAGCATTTCATTAGCTTTTATACTCTGATCAGAAGATTGGAGTCTATCATTTAATTTCATTTGAATTAGATCATTTTCTGCACTTTAGACCGGCGAAGTCGAATTTTTAAGACTTAAATTTAAATAAATGAATTCTAAATTCATTTATTTAAATTCAAGTCTTAAAAATTCGACTTCGCCGGTCTAAAGTGCAGAAAAAGAAGTCCAAATTCGTCTTTCAGTTAAATTTGGTATACGAATATGGTCTAACCATATTCGTATACCAAATTTAACTGAAAGACGAATTTGGACTTCTTAACCGAGTTTAACTGAAAGCCGAATTAGGATTTTAAAAACACATTTAATTAAAAAAGAAATTTTTCAAGATTTTTTATAATTTTTTTTGTTTTGTTTTTTGCTTTAAATGTTCCAAGCAGACCTAACAGATTTGCCATGGAGTACATCAGAAAAGTATTAAACTAGGATGTGCAAACCTCCTTCTTCACCGATGGTGTGAAATATGCCTAGAGCTTGCTTCGAACCCTAGGTC